AGAGCGAGGGTAAAGAAGATGGTTATTATGTAAAGCAAACAATGAAAGCCCTCCATGCATTCGTGAACACAGAAAGAATATTTAGACTGGCGTTTTTAAAAACAAAGCAGTACTAGAAAACAAACCCCCTCTGCAGGTCTGACAGAGTGAGGGTGGACACAAATCCTGGTGTCCAGCCCTTAGCAGAAAGGAGCCGCGGACGCAAAGATGCCATTAAAGGAAAAGATGCAGAGTCAGCGGCAAGACCAGGGAGCAATTTTGTGGTCACTGAGATGTTTAGGCCACAGCGGTGATGTGCCGAGATCACGTAACATGGCCTAACAAAGATGAGTGATTTAGCAACTGGGTTCCGTTTACCTGCTGACCAGAAAGCTTTCTGTGGATTGGTCAGGAGCCAGGCGTCTCCGCCCCCTTGCCGTTAGCAAGGTGAAAAGGCAAAAGCATCTTGCCTGCATCACAAATTCAAATTTTTTTGCGTTCAAGGGCTTCTCAGCCTAACATCTGCTCATGAATTCAAAAGTGGCAGCCGTTGTTGAGGTCACCTGGCAGTGTGGGCAGACCAGCTTGGAGAAGGGTAGCCGGGCAGGCGGCGCCTTATAGGAGCCAACAGGTCTTAGCAAGGTGGTGAGAGAAAACAGAGTCGAAGCTGAAGACCTGTCCTTGACATTGGCTGAGCTGCTGTAAACTGAAGAATGGACATCAGGGGACAGGAACAAAGCTTTCTTTCTGCAAACAGGAATGATACGTAATTGTGCCTGTCCATATCATTATCTAGCCCTGTGTGGGGACCTGAGAACAGAGTCCCATGGGGGCCCTGTCATATTCCATTTTGCCTAGCTGATAACAGTGTCTGTTACTTAGTAAATGCTCAAACACACCAAGATGTGCCCCAAATTGCTGAAGCATCTCTTCCTTCCACCCACGGCAGGCAATTCTCTGCACCAAAGGACTAGAGCAAGCTTGTCGTGCAGGAGGCTGTTTCATAAAACCAATGAAGTATGAGGAATCAGCCAGGCCACCTCTATGGGTACTATGTAATCTGCTACGTTACGGATCAGTTTTAGAAAGTGCTTCTAGAATGTTCAGAAGGCTTTCAGGAACCATATAGTGTTTAACTTGTCTAACAGATCATCCCTGTTCTCCGATCCTCGTCATCAGCAGCCTAACCTGACAGGCATAGAAGAGCTGGCTCTTAAGACCTTTCTTAGCCCTGTTACTATAACCGAGAAAAAATGATGGCAGTAAGGCCTTTCAAAGACACTGCAGAGCCCGACTATGTTAGGCTTTTCAAGACAAAGGCTGTTTACTGGCCAATTGCAATGTAGACCCTTCAAGCATTTTATCTTTGGAAAAAAAAAAATCAAAGTTTCAATGTTTTGCCATGAGCTTAAATCCTGGAGTCCTTATGAAAAACAAAACAAGATACTTTCCAGAACATTCCTTGCTCCAAGAGGCCGTTACTGAGTTGATACTGGGTCTGTGCCAGCATTACATCACTATTTGGAATGCAGTGCCAAGTGTTTCATTCTACCTTCCCAGGTAGATTCAGGGTGCTGCTGGGGTCAAAGGCAGCCATATCTGGTGTCTGCCAGGCCAGAACCAGCCACAAGGGGCTGGGCTGCCTTCTTCACATCAGGAGCTCCCTGTGACAGAAGCAACCGTGAAGCTGTGAAGCCTGGCTTCAAGAGGCTGAAGGGTCCACAAAGACATGGTTGCAATTCGTGCTTGAACGCTGCATGGTGCAGGCCCGCCCCTCTCCTTGCCCGGCTGCGTCCTTACCTTGCAGGTCTCCCCACTCCTGTGCCACAGCCCCAGGAAGGCTTTCCCAAACCAAACATTCAAGTGGTTCTCCCTACAGCATATCACCCTTGCTGGTTTTGTTTGTTTTTAACTTTTAGTTCTTCTTTATTTGTTTTTGAGACAGGGTCGCTTGCCCAGGCTAGCCCCAGTGCTGGAACTACAGGCTTGTGCTACTGCACCCAGCTGCTTTTCCTTCTTGTTCTTGTGTTTGTTAGCTATTTGCTTCCATGTTCATTTTTTACCACTCCCCTGCTGTCTACCCTGCCACATTGGAGGCAGGAACATGAGAAGCAAGCTCCAGTCTGTCTTGTTGATTACTATATTTCTAGCTTCTAGAATGTGCCTGGTAGACAGTAGGTGCTCAGTAAATGTGTTGAATGGTTAGCCTTGGAAAGTAGCTGTTTGAACAAGCCACATGGGACCAGAAACTCAAAGGCTTACTTAGCATGATTTAGTAATAAAGAGAAAGGTACTAAGTGTTTTTCTAGATTTCCCCCACTCGCATATGAAGCAATAAAGAGGCCCCGAGTCTACAATGTGGCCTGGCTGCCAGTCTACAGGGGGTCCTCAGAAAAGACTGAGTTAGATCCACGTCAGTGTAGAAGCAAGAGATGAAGCCTTACATTGCCACTGAGCTCAAGCTTGGAAAAACATTTCTCTGTTCCCCAAAGAAAAACAAGGGTTGAGAATTTCATACGATAAATCATTCAGGCAGAAAACCACACATTTGCCCATTTCATCTTGGTAAGAACAAAGCAGCTGTTTGCACATTCTCCTGTCACACCTGCTCTGGCCTGCCCGGCACAAACACCTCAGCCAAAAAGTGTAAATGGGTTAAGCCTACCTAGTCTGTTAGACAGCGGCGGCGGGAAGGAGTACGGGCGCTTTCCTCGTTTCAGCTCATCCAGGAAATCCAATAATAATTGTAAATGGGTAAGTTTAGAAAAGCTCTGTGCCTTGCAAACATCGCTCTAAGCGACACACAACAAAGTCATAAATAATAATTATTCTTCCACTCACTGGTCTATTTATTAGAGTGATAATGGTGCAGTGTATTTCCCAACAGTCTTATTTGGTTTTCTGGATCTATGAATTATATTTGAAATTCTTTTAGGCATGACCAAGAGCAACACAAATGAATAATGTCAATTAAAAAAATCATTACATATGAACATCTACAAGATGACGTCACCACGCTTAAGTAGAAAACAAAAGGATCGACATTCTGTGAATGTGGGGGCTATCAGGCATTCATTCATGTTAAAACAGCAACTGCATTTCATCCATCTAATCTTGTAATTAAGATTCATATTCATTTAAAATGATTAATTTGCACTGGCCTATCAAGATGGAAGACATTCTGTTAGAATCTGTCTGAACAGCAAATGTTTTAACCTACAAATGCTGAGCTCACTGTGTTTATCCAAGAGCGACTGACAATTGCCCGATCTTCCTGAAACTGTTAATGCTGCTGGTCCTAAAATAAAAGTCCATTCCGAGTCAGTCTGACATTTCCCTTTGGTCTGCGATCTGATGGATACTATATTCAAAATGCACTTAGTCATTTTAAGTCACAGGCAAGAAGCAAAATGGCTCCCAAGCAGATTTAAAAAAAAAAAAAAAAAGGTGTTGCAGGAAGAAGGCTTTTTCGTGGCAAGCCCAGAGAACGAATCACCACATGAATCACGTTCTAATATAACTGAGCCACAGAATGATTCCAAGCACAATAATTTAGTTGGCCTCAATAACAATAAACAACCACCACTCTTTAACCCCTAAGAGATTTGACTGCAGATCATACTGTAGGAAATGAAACAGACTGCTAAAAACAGGCAACTATTTACATATACGGTTCTGAATCTCAAACTTCTTCACCTGGGAGCACCTCCCTGAGGAGGGAGGTTTCAGGTCTGGCAACAGCCACAGAGACGCTCCCGTGAGGGCTCAGTGTGCACTTGTCATGGGGAAGGAAGGCTTGGGTTTGGGTCCAGCTCTACCCTGAGCTGGGAGGTTACCATGGAGGGCTGAGGAAGGTAGAAGCAGAGGCATTGGCTGATTCTTAGAATTTCTGCAAAGCTTTTGTTTCAGAGGCGCTGGTGAGCCCGTGAGAAGGGAAGCACACCTCTTCACAAACCTTGACCTGCATTCTAGAGCGCATGGAGAAACCTTAATTTAGAACGCGTTGAGCACAAAGGGGAAAGAGAAAGGCGTTCATGGAGCAAGCCTCTGTAGATTTAGAGATGCAGTTGAGATGTTAAGGCTTGAAGACTGCTTTAAAAAAAAAAAATGTCTAAAGCCAGTTCACATTCTATGTGAGAGGACACAAAACTGTGAGACTCTCACTTGGCAAATGTCTCCTTTTCTAATACATTCTTGTGCATATCTATTACTGCATTTTTAAATACGAGTTGGTTACCAAGGAAACAGGTTCTGGCCCAGTGTTAAATTGAAACTAAAATATTTTTGAGGGGTTAGGCTCAAAGGGAAGAGCTTGTGAAATGATTTTGGAAGATGCCAGGATTTGGTACATAGACAGCCACAACTGTATTTCTGCAACAAGCCATTCTAAGGGTTCAGCTTCCAGCCATTCTAGGGGCTCAGCTTCATTTAATGAAGCTCAATTTCTGCTAAGAGGGCCATGGAATCTTAGCATTTCTCCCTTTAAAAATGATAGCTCCCCGCCCTCCAGCTACATGCACATACAAATAGTGGATTTATCATTGTATATGACAAAAATATGATTTTGAAAGAATTTAACTTTCAATTTTCATATTCCACACAATACAGTTAAAGTCCGCTTCTTAAAGATTAAACATTTTTTGATAGTTCCTATTGAGCTTATTTACGCTCTTTGAAATTATCTCAGAAACCCATTTGTTTTTAGTTTCAAGCTAAAATTGAGCCAAATCACCAGACTTTTCAAAAAATTCTTTTGTCTAGTGGCGCCACACCTATCATACAACTAAATTTCTTTGAAAAAGAAATCATCTCACTTTTATAGCAGAATCACTTTATAAGTTGTTTATGCTTAGGTTTATATAGTATTTAGATACGAGAGGCTATCCAGTTTAATGCCATCCCCAACATATTACAAGTATCTTAGTTTTAATTTTGAAAAGCACATTTTAATGCATCTAATGTTTTTCCTGCATGGCTCCAAAAAAAAAAAAAATCTATAAAGCATGCAAATTCCAACCTACCTGTGCGCGTCACTCAGGGCAGCGTTAGCATAACAAGACACTCGGCCATTTTTATGGAAGGCGATGGAGACCCACTGATTTCTCCGTCTTCTTGCTCACAAGTTTTAGATACGATTGTCACACACACCAAAAATCATACGCAGAACAGCTTGAATGCACTCTGATCACGAGGGCTGAATTTATCAACAGCAAAACAGGACTGAAAAAAGAAGTTTCTGATCCAAGGATTCTCGGAGGCTGCAACCGAGGAGGTGGTGTGTTGAATTTTTTTTTTCCTCCCTTGCTCCTTTGAGAGTTCAAAGCTCAGTGCTGACCGCTGCAAAGGCCACTGTCACATTTGCTGAAAATCAAACCACTGATCCCAGCACTGAAAACACAATATGAGAACCTGTGTTGCTTGCACACGATGCAGTGCCTAGGAGTTAAAAATAGAGTCCACCTGGCCTCCTACCTGCATAATAAACATGTAAGTTTCAAGTGTTTAATTTGATATTCACATTAATTAACAATACAACATACATTATTTAAAAGACAGCAAATGCAAGAAGAAAGGGGGGCCACCATCTGGTAGCAGAGTTTTGTTGTTCTTGTTTGGGTTTTAGGGTTTTGTGGGATTTATTTGGCTTTGTTCAAAAAAGAAAAAGACAGGATCTTATTCTGAATGTGATGAAAAGCAAACCTCCAGAAGCAGATGAATCCGAAAAGAAATGATGTCGAAATAACGAAGGTTGTAATGAGGCAAAGCAAGTCTTCGCTACCAGATGATATGGCATAGAGAGCATTTACATACTCACATCTGAAATACTAGGCAACATGTAATGAATTCTACACAGCACGCACACACAGCACAGCACGGCTAATCCTGCCTGCCATCTTAGGCTCACACAAGCAAGATACGCACTGCATGCAGCCCACGAGCGAGCGAGCGAGTGAGCGAGCGCGAGGGAAGGAGGAGGAGGAGGCAAGGGACAGCTCACCTTAAATGCAGTATCTGATTAATGTTGTAAGTGACATTGCATATCAGCCTCAGAGTCTTGGCTCAACTGGGTAGGAGGGAACAAAGAAAAATGTCATCAACTGCTGATGCAGGATGAGCCCAATCACTAACCACTGTTTAGCAAACTCCAAATTCTGCAACCAGGCAGTAGAAGGCATTTCTTGCACTTAAGCAGGGCGGCCGCACAATGAATGAGTCCTTCTGCTTCTGAAAATCAAACAGTCCTTTTGCTAAGGAAGAAAATCAGCTGGAATGAATACTGTCATATCCTCTTCTTGGAGAGAGCTTGCAATACAGTATGTATCTGCTTGGGGATGCATTTTATAGACTGTTCCTTTCATAGAATTGCTAACAGCAGCAGAAAAAAATTTTTTTTTAAAAAAAATCAAACCTGCTAAGCTACTGCCAAGTGAAGACGAATTCTGAAAAAGGGCATAGCATTTGTAGATTTTTTTTTTTTAAACCCTAAGGTGCCGGCAGGCTTGTAGAAGAATGCATGATCGGTTGTCTGTATCCGTTCTATAACCTTTAACCACAGGCAGCGTAAATGTATCCGGCTAAATGTATCTGCAGTACAGAATGGCAGATACCTCTGCAGACAGAATTGTATGAAGATGGAAGTGAATTTTCTTACAGTTAGAAGCCAAATAAAATCGGTACAGAAAAAGAATTCGATGTCAGGTTCCTTAGGATGTACAGCTGGCCTTCATAAACAATTAAAGCTATCTTTAGGATATTGACCTAAATACTAGGAAGATTTGCAGCAGCATACTGTACGTGTTCCAAACATAGAAAATGCAGTGATTCGTCTCCCCCCTCCCCCTCCAAAGCGAACAAGCCAGTCACAGGAATACCGAAGGGCAATGGACAGTACACACTGGAGGGAGAGACGGTGTGTGCTGAGAGGCGATGTCCCTTTGTTTTACTTGAGGTTTATTCGAGCTACACTGGTACCATGGCATTGACATTAGGAGGCCAGGGCTGATGGGGGGGTTGCTATCCATTTTATGAGTGAAATGTTTCCCGAAAATTAAATCTCATCTACTCAGACACCCAATTCCATGTCTTCTTCACTGCCACCTCCCCGACTGCTCAGGATTGATGGGACCCAGTTTGGCTGTATGTAATAAACTGGGATCACTTTCTATAGACTCCACTTCATAATTATGAGGAATTATTTTTTAATTAAAAAAAGGCTTCAAGAATTCATAGGCACAGACCCTTTCATTCCTTCCTCTCTCTCACACACATACACATGCACGCACACGCATGTGCACACACGGTCATACGCACATACACACACACTTGGAGCTCAAACTGCAACAAAACGTTTAACACAGTGGAACAAAAACTGTTAAATGGCTGCTTATTCGGGATTTTAAAGGAATACTTCAAAAGCAAATACCATTTTGCTGCAAAACCAGTGTAACTATGTCTCCAAAGAGGAAAACAGGGTAGCAGGGTAGAATTTTTTTTTTTAAGATCCTACCAGCAAATTAAAAACAGAAAAAAAATTAACAAGAAGTCTTTTATCTTAAGAAAACAAAACAGATTCTTTTTTTTTTTTACAAAGAAACCATACCCACCCCCACCCTCAGAGCCCAGATATAAGCTAGCATTTTTATGAAATGCTCTGATTATTTTTAAATATATAATCTTTACATATTTCATCTCTCACATGGTCTTTAATTGCCTATTGCATCACCAATATGCTAATGTTAATCAATTTTAACAATGCAACCATGAATTAATGTTTCCTTGGTTTGCCAGTTTTCTAGTGACTCTATCTTCTGTAAGAACTGCCTGATAATAATGAGGTTGGCAAAGCATCCGTGTGCCCTAGAAATTGCTGAAAGGAGAAAAATCCATTTGAAAATCTCGGTTTAGGTAGTAGGCTTCCCAATTGGATTGTTTCTAGTTTGAATTCTGTCTTCTCCCTGGAACAGAAGTGATTTGCAGCTGACTGTGTGGAAGGCACCCCTGCCTATCTCTAGCCCATAGGCGTTATTCTGTCAGTCGGACGGTGGGTCCTACCTGATCCACAGCAAGTCATTTTCTTGTTGAAGCACACTTCTCTCTCACAAGTGCTCCAGAAATGAATGTGGCGTTAATGAAAAGCGTAGCTCTGGTGTTCCTAACACCAATGCTGGAGCCCTCTTCCCCACCCCCCACATCATGGCTCTCTAAGCCCTGGCTAACAACATTGACAGCGACAGAAAATTAGAATGGAGTGTGTTTGTGCTAATTCCTTCCTTACCAAGGGGGTCTAGAATTCGACTGTTATGTGGAATTACAAGCGCCAAGTTAATTACCATACGGCCATCTATAAAGCAGGGTCCTTCAAGAAGAGTGGAAGGGTGAAGGAAACACGTTGGCACATGACACTCAATGTCTGTTGAGAAAGTCCCCGTGAATGACATCAGAAGGCTAGATGTTCACATTATATATGCACAACGTATTATTAAGATACAGAATCAGTGGTGACTATATTGAGCCAAGTCAGTGCCTCCTCTGTCTGGAATAATAAATGCCAGTGACAACAACTGTCATCCATTTCAAGCTCCCTGGAGATAAGTGAATAGTGTTACATCCCTTTATAGCAGTGGTTCTCAACCTTCCTAATGCTGACCCTTTAAGACAGTTAGTTCCTCATGTTGTGGTGACCTCCCACCATAAAATTATTTTCATTGCTACTTCATAACTGTGATTTTGCTATTGTTATAAATCGTGATGTAAATATCTGACATGCAGGATATCTGATATGCATCCCCTGTGAAAGGGTTGTTCGGCCCCCAAAAGGGTCAAGACCTGCTTTATAGTGCAGGGTGGTGGCTGTGCTTGGGTCCTATACTGGTACGTCTTATAACCAGATGCCAGGGCAAAGTGTTTTCACACCTCTCTGTGGGGTGCCCTTGTTCACTATTTGTGTCAAAATGAGCAAAAAACCACATATTGAATGTTATTTTGTGATTTCCCTAAACAGTGATCAAATGTGATATATTTACCAAACCTACTTGGGTTAAACAAACATGAATTCTAGCTGTAAATATTCTGAGGAATGAGTGTGTTTGGGCAGATGCTGTCAACTAATAAATCTTGTTTTGTACTGGAAAAAAAAAAAAAAAAAAACAAGGCATGCTCATGCCTGAATTATTTAAGCTTTGTCACGATTACAAGTGGTGAAGATATGCATGCATTCGCTTAGGATTTTTAAAAAATCGCATGCCCTTCCTCCTCAGGGCATATGCACAGACATTAAGTTAAATGAGACTCCCTTTTCCACAATGAAAATTGTAGGCTTTGACAAGTCAAACACAAGGTTCCCAAAATAATGCAGCAAGCACCCGCTGGAGGACGGAGCAAGGCGGTGACGATTCATACGTTTTTGCTTGCCCTGGCCTCTGCGTTCTGCAGGCGGAGCTAATTTTATTTCCAGGCCTGTGGGTTAAAGTTAAATTGCATGGCTTATGCAAAGTACATAATTCAAGTATGAACAAAGCTCGACTCTTCTCATTTAAAAAAACCATCAAGTCAGGGCACCGAGTCCCAGAGGAACCCTTGGTTTATAAACATTTGGATGGGTTTGCATGTTTCTTGATGCCATCCACAGCTTTAAAATCACAGCTGGTTTCATTTGATACCTAATCTACATATGAGTAGGTGAACCCATGATCTGGTTAGCTTGACAACTGAATTTTAAAAGTAAATGTTTACCATGTATAACATTTTTGTTTAAATTCTTATGTAAATATAAAAGGCAGAAAATTTTTTTTATGAGGTTGATTATATTCAGGCTTGGAAACAATTTGGTAGTTCTTTTTCTTTTTTCTTTCTTTCCTTCTTTAACTAATTATTATTAGTGTCTGTGTTCTTTGAGACAGACTCTCACTGTGTTGCCCTGACTGGCCAAGAACTCACTGTGTAGATGATTCTAGCAGCAAACTCAGAGATCTTCTATCTGCCTCTGCCTCCTGGGATTAAAGGGGTGTGCTACCTCACCCTTCAATAAAGTGATTTATCAATAACTTAAAACAACGTTGGGGGGCTAGAGAGATGACTCAGCAGTTAAGAACATTGGCTGCTCCTTCAGGGGACCTATGTTTGATTCCCAACACCCACAAGGTATCTCACAACCATCTGTTTCTCCAGTTCCAGGGGATCGAACACCCTTTTCTGAACTCCATGGGTCCCAGGCACACTTGTGATACACAGACATGCACTCAGGCAAAACACTTATACACACATTAAAAAAAAAAAAAAAAAGAACCTAAAAAAATAATGGGATGATATTTTACTGACATTTTTTGAGACAGGGTTTCTCTGTGTAGTTTTGGTGCCTGTCCTGGAACTCATTCTGTAGACCAGGCTGGCCTCGAACTCAGAGATCCACCTTGCTCTGCCTCCCAAGGGCTGGGATTAAAGGCGTGCGCCACCACTGCCCAGCTTTTTGCCTGACATTTTAAAGAAAGTCCATTATTCTTCCACTGGCTACATCTTGTCCAGAGATCTGAGCAGGAACTTCTGTGTGCTGATCAAAACTAAAAATCATACTTAATATTTTAATAATATTATATATTTTAATAAATAAATTCTAGCCTAATAGCACTGTATCCTATAGTATTAACTACCATCAGTTTTAAAGATAACTATCATATAGAGACTAGGATTAAAATCTGAGACTAGTTGATGGAAAACCTGGACCTTCCCCCATCCCTAAGGGATGAAACTACCCCCTGCAGCTCATCTCCACCTAACTCCAGAAATCTTCCCACTGGGATGACATCCTGGGGGATGTTTTCTCATGGAGCACCCTGGTCCTCTATGGCTGTGGCTACCCTTGTTTATATGAACCAGGTCCAGGGAATTGTGGGTATCTAAGCTTTCACCAACCAGAGACAGCCTGGGCCCAACCATTTGAAAAAAGAATTAAAAAAAATATCAAGTAGACCATGTTGGGAAATTAGGACTAGAAAGCAGAGTAACAATTTTGGAGGGGGGTTTGTTGCAGTTTGTAAATGTTTCATGGTGCAAAGTAGGTAGGAAAAGCTTCCATTTCTGCACATGCTAAAATCTCATTGAGGAGAGTCCAGTTTTTCCATATTAGGAAAATTTACTTTCCCACCTTAGGCTTGGGGTGTAGCTCAGTATTCATAAGGCTTTGAGTTTGATCCTTAGCACCACATACATACAGATTTGCCCCAAATCCCACCCTTAATAAGCTAGTTCACCCACTCATTGTATTAAAAATCACAGCTGACTGCCTTCTATACCTACTGTGTTTAGCATTTATGAACAA